CCAGTTTGTCAGTCCACTTAACGGCCCAGTTCGTAATTAACATAAAATAAAAAAAACGCCTCCCCCGCGCTCCTGCTTCTGCCGCGCCCGTCGATGCCGTGGCCGACGTCGCTCACTGACCGCCATTGTCATCGTCGTCGTTGACCAGGTCGACGTAGGCCGGCGGCATCCAGAGATGGGCCGGCGGTGCGTGGTAGACGTGGGCTGGCTGGACGGCGGGAGGTGCCTGCACCACCTCCTCCCGCTCCGGTGACCGCGGCGGCGTGGGGCGCCAGTTCACGCCCACGACGTCGGCCATCTCTTCTGCCGTGCACGACCAGCCCCACCCCTGGCCAACCAGGGCCGGGTGGAACGCGGCCACCGGCGGCTCCTCCACCTCCTCCTCCTTCGCCACCATCTCGAGCTCGGGGATGGCGACCTCGCCGGCGGCAGAGCGGGCCAGCATCTCCTCGAGGCCCTCCCACTGGCGCTCGTTGTGCGTGCGCATGGAGCCCTCCATGACGCGTGCAACGAGACGGGCCTCCTCCTCCGTCATGCGAGGAGGTGGTGGTGGCGATGGAGACGGCGAAGGCGACGGCATGGGCGTGACGTCGCGCACCCGCCTACGCCCGCGCTCCTGGGGAGCAGGCGCTGCGCGCTCCTGTCGTGGCCGCCGCGTCCCCGTCGAGGTGCCGGCGAAGAACGACGCGCGCCTGGTGTCGTGCTCGTCACAAAACCAGGTGTCCCAGAGCCCGGAGTCGGGGGCGTACCTGGCGTCGTAAAAGAGGTTGTCGGGGAGGAGGCGGCGGCGGCGCTCGATCTCCTCGTCGCGCTGCGGGCGGCCGGCCGGCGAGTTTCTTGGCTAGGGTTTGGGGTTCGGCGCTGCCGGGTTTCGAGGAGGCCGCGGGGTGGCGTGGGGCAGTGTGGACGACGACCCGTCCACGCTTCCCACTTAAAGAAGGACGGAGAGCCGTTCGACGTGCGGATGACAGGTGGGGCTGCCCGCTCGTGCGCATTGATGTTGACCGGTGGAAGGTAGGTGGCCGCCTGCCACGCGGCCCCGACGCGGACGAAGCGCGCGTCCGTTTGGTGTCCGCCGCGACCCAAACCCGGCGCAAGTTTGCGCTCGAAATGGGTCGGCCCGGACACAAAACGGACAGGATGGGTCCGGGCCATCGCGCGCTGGGCCGCCTCGTTTGTCCCTTTTGCCCCAAAAGCGTCATCTTCGAATGTTCTAATCAAGCAACAGCAAATGCATTTCTCGAAAGAAAAGAAAAAGGCAACAGCAAAGGCCCAAGTGCCGGTTTGGTGCATGAGCAATTGATTCATAGCATTTGCTGTTCTGATTAGAGGGAATTGTACTTCCGCTCCCGTTTAGCACTCTGCTACGGCGAGGTCACGGGCTAATCATCAGCCCCTACATATCACACGACAATGATCCCGTGCGTTGTCTCTTGTCCAGGCTCAAGAAGGTGCCGTGGTCAGTACATCGATCCCACTGCATCGCACCTAGCAGTCTTTCAAGGAGTGGGAACGGTGATCGGATAGGGATAGGTTTGGCCCGAAATAGACACATGGTACCGCCTCGATAAGAGTCGACTGTACGCACAAATGGGTAAAACGGCACGAGCGTGTTCAGAGAAACAAAGGTGATGATCGAGCAAAGCACTGCAACAAGAGTGGAATCCAGTTAAAAGTTGGCACGCCACTAGGTACTGTACACCGGATCATCGCGGGATACAATGTACTACTGTGCAGCTTTGGCGGCACAAAAGGGAGGGACGGCCACATGAAGATACCTCAGCCTTGATTGGGCAAGGAAGGAAGCTGTCACGCAGATCTGGATGGATGGATCACGGCGATTGGGCCAAGATGCAGCCAGTACCTGCGCAGTTCGTCAATAATGCCTCCCTCCACCATGGGGATCCTCAATATGAAAGTTCTCAAGATTCTGTGCAGAGTGCAGACCAACCTCATCTTCTTCCATGCGATCCTGCTCCATGGCAGGATCTTGCTCCGCACTCGCGCCGACTTCATGGCAGGACCAAAGCGCGCAATTTTCTGAAATAGCATTATAAGCAGAAAAGAGCGAGTAAGTATGGATTTCAGAAGCTCTGCTCTAGGAAAATTTTCATTTCCAAGCTTTCGACGATAATATATATTGTACTCTTCCAGTCAGCCACACTCTTTAAAGGGCAGCCCCAGTGCATGTAGCTCCCGCTTGCGCAGGGTCTGGAGAAGGGTCCGACCACTTTGGGTCTATTGTACGCAGCCTTTTCCTACATTTCTGTAAGAGGCTGTTTCCAGGACTTGAACCCGTGACCTCATGGTCACAAGGCAGTCAGCCACACTCTCTGAATTTCAAAAACCACCGCCTGTTTACAGAAATGATCATCAGCTGGACGTACTATGAGTTCTATGACAAACAGTCAGATCAGTCCATTTTCAGAAATAAGAGTAGGTAAAAAGGAAGCAATACAGCACAAGCTGATTCAGGGATCCACTAGGCACCAGCACCCGGCGTCAGCGTCGAGCGGGATTTTTCGCACTACTTACTCAGATATAGTCCCAGTCCCACTGTTGCACCTTACCCTTCCTAGGACTGCTGTCAACTTGCCCTTCCCACTACTCACACAGGTATATGCGAGTCAACTGCAGAATATTCATCTACCACTAGGACTTTCTTCAGGCTCGGCCCTTCTCAGTTCTGACTACCCACCAGACACTAGTACAGCACAGGGCGATACAGAAATCATCGTACTGTTTCCGACCTCATCTAACAAGATATGGCCACCTTCTTTAAAAAGACCGCCAGCATAGCTGAGAACGAAATCAAAGAATGAGTTACTGTGGATGAAATAATCTAGCTCCCCGTCATGGGTCAGCATGAGTGATAGATCAAGTGAAGTCTAAAAATAAAGAAGTGAAGGTTCTAACCAGAAGGATTGAGCTGAACACTTTCTGAATCTGAAGCAAAAGTGCCGGGTTGTTGTAACTGAATATTGCATGGTCTGAAAGTTTTGAAGCTTCCAGTACAAGCGCCCATAAAGGATGCAAAGGTTTGCAGATGGGCTTAACTGTTATAAGAACATCTTCTGCCAAGGTAGCTGTATATGTATCCACCACTTGCACAAAAAGCAAAGAGCACTCACGAAAAGAGATAGAGTAACAGTGGAAATGCCACTTCCAAAGAGAGGTAAAATGAGTACTCGTTATGAATGTACCATCCATAAATCTTGTAAACGTCAAGTTTAACCATTTGTCATCGAAATTTCATTCACACAACATTCGGAATTGAGCAGCCCATACGAATGACTCGGTGGGTTCTAAGTGATTGGAGCATTAAAAAAGGGCAGCCAGGTGCACGCAGCTCCCGCTTGCGCAGGGTACCGGGAGGGGTCCGACCACTTTGGGTCTTTTGTACATAACCTTCCCCAGAATTTCTGCAAGAGGTTGTTTCCAAGACTCGAACCCTTTTAACGCTGCGCCAAGGCTCCCCTCTAAGTGATTGGAGCATTCATAGCAAGAATTTCAACTTTTGTGCACCAACCACCCTAACACAGTAACACCATCCTCCAACTCAAATAGTGCCAAAAGTTTTTCTTTTCCCTTTTTTGGTGGTGGGGAAAGATGAGTGCCAAAGGATGGTAGAAGGCCATCTTGAGATTCAAACTGTACAATTTTGTCACTAGAAGTTGAATTGCAAAAATTTAGATGACTAGCATATTCATTTACATAATCACAAAACAATGCTATAGGAAAATTTCATCAAAAGAAAAATAGTGCAGTGTGACAAAGAATGAAGTATCCCTAACATAGTAAACATGATAAGTAAACAGAAGTACATGCAGAAAAACATACTATTCTATAGCACGTTTTGTAGACATACTATTCTATAGCAAATTTCACAGGCACCTTAAAAACTCATTTATCAGTAACCCATCTTCATTTTAGAACCGTGCATATGCAAATACCTTGAACAGATCACCACATCTTCTAAACAATACCAAAAATAAAACGGACAATTACAGTTCCACATGTACCTTTTTTTTGCCGCAGTGAACATTAATTCCACCGTCCATGAGTTTCTGTTAAAATAATCTTCATTCACCAAAATCGATGTCCTGTTAAGTCACACATTCAACAGATGCTAAAATAGTCTGTCTTCTCCTCAAATATTCAGCCATTTCACTTTTTACAATCTCAACAGTGTCCAAACACAGCTAAAATAATTTGCTTTCTTATTGTGTATTCTTAATCTTCCCAGTGCAAATGTGTAATAAAAATGTTGTTACATAACTTTTTTTTCCTGCTGTTCCAAGATTACTTTTAGTACCTTCAAGTGAAATATCAAAATACGGCTCCAGCATGCGTAGCCAACAATACCAGTTGCAAGGATTGACAGATAACAGTTCGAAAAATAAAACACATCCATCCATGAGTTTCTGGTAAAAATAATCTTCATTCACTAAAATCGATGTCCTGTTAAGTCACACATTCAACAGATGCTAAAATAGTCCGCCTTCTCCCCAAATATTCAGCCCTTCCCCTTTTTACAATCTCACCAGTGTCCAAACACAGTTAGAAATGATTTGCTTTCTTATTTCGTAGTATTCTTTGTTTTACCAATGCAAACGTGTAATCAAAATGATGTTACAACATAACTTTTTTCCCCGAGGTTCCAAGATTACTTTTAGTATTTTCAAGGGAAAATTATCTGCAAGCCTGAGACTGGATATTTGGATGTAATCATCTCAATACAACTTCAACAAGCTGTGTTCATCAGAATAACAAAAAATGCGGAACATTTTGACCTGGTAGTAGTTATCAGTGCAACCCATATCGATCACTACCAGTTCATGCAAAAGCAGCAAGGATTGACAGATAACATAAATCTTTGAACTAATTGAGAGCAAACCATAAAAGCGCAAATTATTCCGTCACGTTTCATAGATATAGATACAGGCAACAGCTAGAAAACATCACCAGGGAGAGATCCATCCGAGAAGGCTGAACCTAGATCAGAAGTAGAGCCCCATCTGGACGTTCTTCTCCATGAATCCGCACTTGGCGTAGAACCCCCTCAGCTCCGGAGTGCAGTTCAGTATAACCTTGTAGCACCCCCTCGCACTCGCGTGCTCCACGAGGCGGCGCACGACGCGCTCCCCGAGCCCCCGGCCGCGCGCCGCGGCGTCCACCACCACGTCCTCCACGTGCCCCACGGTGCCGCAGCGGCGGATGAACTTGCGCTCCACGAGAACCGCCCCCGCGGCGGCGATGCGGCCCGTGCCGGCGTCCTCGGCGACGAGGACGAGGTGGTCGCCGCCCAGGGCCGCGAGCTCGGCGAAGCGGGAGCGGAAGGAGTCCTCGGTGAGGGGCGCGGAGGGGGAGAGCTGCGCGAGGAGGTCGCAGAAGCCCTTGGAGAGGTCGCCGAGCTCGAGCGGCCGGATGCGGTACGCGTCGGCGTCGACGCCGGCGCCGGCCTCCGACGCCATGGCTGCTTGCGGTTGTTCCATCGGCGTGCCGTCTGACTATTTCGGCCTGGGAGACGGAGGGACGTCAAATAAGGCCCAATTGGTGTTAGTACCAGGCCCTGTTACATTTTGATTGGGCCTTTACAGGGACTGAACTCATGGGCCGGATCTACAAAGATTCGCCCGTTACACACGTCGCTTCAACTTGGCATTTCGAAAACCACTTTCCCGAAGCCACCCGCCCAAAGCCCCAAACACAGCCGGAAAAATCCCAAAATCGAAACGCGTCACGTCTCCATGGTCGCCGCCCCCGCCCCCGCCCCCGCCGCCGGCGAGGCGACCCCGCCCCCGGAGCCGCCTCCGTCCCGCGTGTCCGTTCGCTCCTCCTCGTCGTCCTCCCGGCGCCGATGCGCCCTCTCGAGCCGTTTCCGTGAGCCGGCGAGCCCGCGGCGCCACGCGTGGGTCTCCCTCCAGGGCCGCCTCGTCGGCGCCGAGGAGGCGGCGTCCGCTGATGCGGCCGCGCCGGGCCTCCCGTCGGACGAGGCGACGGCGTGGGAGCTCTTCAGCCCGATGCACCGCGTCCTCCTCGTCGCCACCGTGGCGGCCGCCTCCTCCCGCTCCCACGCGGCCCGCCGCATCGAGCAGCTCCAGCGATCGATTCATTTCAGGGTTTGCTTCTTCTCATCTCTTCCGTTTCGATCTTATTTGGATACACAGTGGCCACCCAATGCTATCAAGTGCCTGTATAAGTTTCTGCTGTTTAAACGAGTTATTATATGAGATCTCCACCTCCACTAAGACGGTGCACATTTGTATTCTAGCAATTTTTTTTAAAAAAAAATAGCGTGTTGAATCAGCAGTACAAGTGAACAACAAAATAATGTTTTCGTTGTGCAGGATGAGGTGCTGCAAAGCATGCAGCAGAAGCTGGATGATCTGTTGTCCGAGATGCACTCCCTGCAACAGCAATATGTCAAGTGCGACAGCTTCATTTCCACCCAGAGTGAAAAGGTTGAGTTGGTAAGCAGCAAGAAGCTAATGGATGAGGAGGGAACCAGATGCTGTGCGTGCTCACAGCTGGTGACTGCTGCTACTCCTTACAAGACAAAGGTATATGTTTACAAAGAGTATGCTCCCAGAGTTGCTTTTGTCTCCCTTATATTCTCTTATGCTGGACAAATGTGCAGGATTTCTGTGGAATGGATGATGCAAAGAGCGATGTAGTTGATAGGACTAGTGTAAGTCTTGTGGATCATGAGGAGCGCCGGATGTCGGATCTCTCAGACATTTGGAGTGTCGTATCCTCTGTGGATAATCATTTAAGCGGGGACAATCAGGTAACTAAGAATGTACTTTTCCGTGGCGGAAGTATCTATTTTGTGTTTATATTCGTTTATGATTATAGTTTGTGCTGGTCATATACACCTCCATGTTTCCATGGCATATGCATTGTTTATGCTAATGTCAAATGTGCTCTTATCATCATTCTTAGTGATGACGCTTGTAAATTATATCCAGCTAAGTTCACTGGCAGCAGAACAAGAGTTGTATAACATTCAGAAGGAATGTGAAGAGAAGGATGCAATTATAAAGGAACTGACTGCAGCTGCACATACATCTAGCACTGCTGATGCCAAGGTATGTCTTATCTCAATGCTTGCATGCTACTTTGTGGGTGGCATATTCTTACAATATTTTTCTCTTTTTGTGTGTAGAGAATTGCAGAGCTGCAGGATATTCTCAAAAGGAAAAACATGGTGATATCCAAACTGAAGAAAGACATGTCAGCTCTGAAGCAGATGGTAAGCAGTTATTCTAGGTTCTACTGTGTGTACATTGTTATTTGTAAATTATTTTTTTTCAGGTCAAATGCTGACTTCTCGTGTCTTTTGTTTGATAACAATAGGTTGTTGAACTAACAAGGGCTAAAAGAGCATCTTCTGTCAACTTAAATACAGCCTGCTCTGAACTCCCAGTGATGTCAAGCAATATTTTATATGATATGAGTAGCACTAGCCCATCATCATCGGATTCTGAGTCTCCTGTAACAACGAGAGAATGCCTTAATGTGCAGCCCACTGACGGCACTCCCGGAGACTGTGAATCCACAGGAAGCTCTAGAGTATCAGTGCGAAAAACATCTCTTCCTCCAGCAAAATCATCAGTGCGCTCGACTGCCCCACTCAAAGAGAAATGTTTAAATCCGAAAGTGGAAACAAGTTTGGTTGGTAGACAGAAGCAACTTTTATCCTCTAATGGAGACTTTAAAAAGACTAGAAGACAAAGTCACCAAGATTCACGGAATAAAGCTACAAAGAGATGGATGTAGAATCTGGACTGCAAGAACTTATTACCAGATAGGTACACTGTTTATGCTTGAATTCACCTCATCTCATTATGCCACGAAGTTTAGTGTATATCTTACGTCATAGAAGAAGAAGCAACCTATCAAATATGCCATTCTGTTCAGTTCATCTTTTTGACGGGTTCTGTTCAGTTCATCTTTGTTGAATGCATAATTCTTCTCCCTCAATACATTTTTATATCAATTCTTTTTTGTGTGTGGCTGCATCTTTGTAGTTGTCACCCTTCATTAGTTCCTAGTGCTAGTCGTCACTTAATCTTCCACTCAGAAAAGGAAAGGCGTATTTAATCTTACCAATTAGATACCCTTTTTCAAGAACGTGAGAATCTAGCACTTTGATTATTCTGTCAAATGAACACATTGAACTAATTGATTGAGCGAAATGCCTAGACCCTATCCCCTGATACTCTGCATATTGGTTCCTTCCCTGATACAATTTTTAATGTCATTAGCCACCCTGTTACACAAGCCCTTTTAGGACGACACTTCTATGAATTCAACAGCTGCACACGTTCCTTTCTTGTTTGCTCACCTCTTATGTAAGTGCATTCTACTTTTTTGGTAATGATATCCATTGCATAGTGCTTGATGTTACAGCCAGTTATCTTCATTCCCCATCTTTGCTGCAATAGCAGGTAACAATTTCCTCTTGCAACTTCTTTAATTAATTACATCCATTTTCTTACATTTCAGATCAGGAAGGAAGGAAGTTGGTTGGTTAGGATAGCCTGTCAGGGTGATGCTTCCTAGCTCCTGCTGTTGTCCGGTGAAAGAAAATGGATCCATGTGATGCAAGTTGCTACATACTTTAGTTATGTCTGTCATGGAGCCAACCAATCCATGATCTAGGCTCGCCATTGGTATCTTCTCCGTTGTAAAATATGTCATTTGGATCTCAACAGTCGGCATCTCCCTGGTCATGATTCTTGAACCCATCGTTTATAGTATTTAATTGCTGGATTAGTTTATCTGACGGAATCTCGGAGCTCGTTTTAAAATTAAATGGTACTCCCTAATGTGGTTTCTGGTTCCCCATAGCAAAGCTGTCATGGTGAAGTTAGTTGTCTGGTAATGCTAAGAATTTGTCTGTCAGGGTAGCAGGCACCAATAATTGTTTCTGAATTTTGTCCATGTGACAGAATTATTTCCGGATACACAGATCATCGTGCTAGCAAAAGAGTGTTTGCCATACTTTATGTGTTTGAGTGTAGAACTGTAGATTGGGTGGGCGGCTGTGCAGAGTTGTAGTGCTGAAGCGGAGCAACGGTCTCGTGGCGGTAGGACACCGCCGGCTGATGCCGGCAAAGTCATGGTCTGGACCTGGGTTCACATGCTCTCGTCTCCAAATTTTAGCAAGTGACATCATTGGAATTTCGAAAAATAAAAATAAAACTATGCATGTAGAGAATGGACACGATAATGCTCATGTAAAAGTTGAAGCTTAAAGATACGATTTGCAAACTGTGCAAAAATCATAAGGCGGTTCTTTTTTTTAGAGGGTAAAAGAGTTTTATTCCAAATGATTAAGGTTACAATTGAGAGGCAAACGTTCATCTATACGGGGCGGACCTATATCTAGCCACACAGCACTAGTACTCTCCATACGACTATAAAAGCCAATCTATCTGCTACCTTATTTTGCTCACATTTAATCTTTAGTGAAATAAACTCCTTCTCTACTATAAGATGCTTGATTTCAGCAACTAAATGACCATATGCCGACCGGGATAGGCTGTCTCCAGTCAAAGCCGAAAGTGCCTCCCAAGAATCAGATTGAACGATGACCGGGAAGTTAGTGTGTTGGATTGCCAGAGCCATAACTTGCATTGGCGCGTGTAACTATGCCTCTAGTGCATCGTTACAATTAAATAGACAACGGTAGGCCACAAAGATCACACACCCATCATATCTTCTCAAAATCATACCAGCCGACGCCGATTCATCCAAAGGGAGAAAGCCCCATCAACGGATAAAGCGATCCTGTTCGCTAGTGGGCTCGGTCATGGTAGCGAAGCAGTAGCCACCCTTTCATGAGGCAGTTCTTTCACAACAAGTTATAAAACTTACAATGAAGTTTGGTCATTTGTTGATTTTTATACAGTTCGCAAATTATCATGTTTTAATTTTGAATTTTGAATGCACATGCTTGTATTCTTACACGTTTTTTCTTCGTAACCTTAAATGATGCGATTTTTGCTAGAAAATTTCTTGACAGATCGCGGAAAAAAATATCTACTCCCTCCTATTCATATTAATTGTCATTGATTTAGTACAGTAGTAAAGATCATATAGAACCCCCACATTTCAAATATTCCCTCTATAGTTGGCGTTGTTCCTTTTCGACGCCCCCGCTGCAACATTTAGACTTGCAAAAAGGCCTATGGTCATATACTAGCGAAAGAGCCTGTACGTTGCAACATGAGAGAAAATAACACATGCTCTTAACCCAATAACCATGCCCCAAAACGCTAGTAGGTCCATGTCCTTTATTTTCACATGACATGACATTTTGTGTTGCCGACGGTGGCCTCAACGCGTTTGAATGTGGTGAGGCCTCTCTCTCTCTCGCCCACACACACTCGCTCGGAATAAGATGAAAAATATTTTGTTTTCTCCACAAGGTTTTTCAAAGGTGTACATGCATGGTTAATGATTTTTCCCCTCCCAGTCTAGTTTTAATGGGTGTACATACGGATCGCCGCTGGTATGAAAGAAAAATGGACCGTGCACTATAGATTAAGTTTGCACAAAAATAATATGTTAAAATTATTTAACTGATAGAGGCGAGGGTGTCTCGATGTTTCGATGAGATGGCTATCATTTTCTGTCAGAGTCGACTTTGACGATCTGACTACGAACGTGCGAAGACGCCGCACCTTAACAATTACTAAACCAACTTCCGAGGGGTTATTGACCACGTCGGAGCACGATCAACCTAACCACGAGGGTCTATTTCCTGCAAGCAAACGAAGAACAAGCAAGAAACTGAGATTGCGATCTGGATATTGCGAATATAAGATGAAAGCTTTATTGATCAAGGTGAGGTTCTGTGACGTCTTGGTCTGGTTGTTGGACACAAACGAAGTACGTGAAGTTGTAGCTATGGCAAACTTTTAATCTAAACAAAACCCAAAGTCTAAACGGCGCCCTAAGAACTGTATATATGGAGGAAGAGGGGGGAATTTCGTGGCCCTTGGAGGAGGGGTCCGAAACCAACCCTAACTCTTGTTTCCCCACACATACAGACTCTAAAAAACATCCTATACTCACGTATTTCAAAATTACAAGGGCATGTCCCAATAATAAGGTGACGCAACACCTATAATAGCCTCTGAACGAAATTTGTGAAGTGACATCTTATATATTTCATCCAAGCCTTCATGCACTCATTACAGTGGCTTCAAAGTCCTGAAATCATCACTTGAAACTCCGTTCTTGTTCCCCTTGCGCATACCATCATCTCCATGCTTGTTCTTGCTCAAATGTCCATCCTTCTCCAAGCTAGGCACTTCATTTGTAAGCAAAACAAATGTATCCAATTTAGGTAGCATCATATTCTCATGAACATTAGAATCATTACCAAGAAACGGAAGTACCTGGTAATTTAATTGGCGTGCACGAGCTCTAGTAATTGGTCTAGTATGTATAGCAGCAGGGGCCGTGGGTGTAAAAATGGTATTGATGTCCTCATCATCCTCCCCTTCTTGAAATAAAGTTGTCCTCGACGGAAGCTCATCTTTCTCACCCAAATAAGGCTTCAAATCTGCAATGTTAAAAGTGGGACTAACCCCAAAATCTGCAGGCAGCTTAAGTTGATATGCATTATCATTTATTTTCTCTAACATCTTAAAAGGACCATATGTGGCATTAGCTTTCATTTGCGCAAATCAGGAAATCTATCCTTACGCAAATGTAACCAAACAAGATCTCCAGGTGTAAACACAACATGTTTTCTACCCTTATCTCTAGCAAGTTTATATTTAGCATTCATACGCTCAATGTTTTCCTTAGTTAACTCATGCATTTTTAAGATCAATTCAGCATGTTGTTTAGCATCAAAATTAACCTTCTCCGAAGATGAAAGAGGCAACAAATCAATAGGTGCACGAGGTAGGAAACCATACACAATTTCAAAAGGGCACATCTTAGTAGTATAATGCAATGAACGATTATAAGCAAATTCAATATGAGGCAAGCATTCTTCCCACATTTTCTTATTATTCTTTAAAACATCCCTAAGCATAGTAGACGATGTTCTATTGACTACTTCAGTTTGTCCATCAGTTTGGGGGTGACAAGTAGTATTAAAAAGCAGTTTAGTCCCCAACTTAGCTCATAAACATCTCCAAAAGTGGCTAAGTAATTTAGTAGCATGATCTAAAACAATAGTATTTGGCACACCATGCAAGCGAATAATTTCACGAAAGAACAAATCAGCAACATTAGCAGCAGCATCGCTTTTATGACATGGTATGAAGTGTGCCATTTTCAAAAATCTGTCCACGACAACAAATATGCTATCCCTCCCCTTCTTTGTTCGAGGTAAACCTAAAATAAAGTCCATAGATATATCCTCCCATAGAACAGTAGGTACAGGCAAAGGCATATATAAACCATGAGGATTGAGTCATGACTTAGCTTTTTGACATGTAGTGCAGCGAACAACAAAACACTCAACGTCCCGTCTCATCTTTGGACAAAAGAAATGTGTAGCAAGTATGACCTCCGTCTTCTTGACGCCAAAGTGTCACATTAATTCTCCTCCATGCGCCTCCTGCAACAACAGAAGACGAACGGAGCTAACTGGAATGCATAGCTTGTTAGCACGAAATACAAATCCATCATTAATGATTAACTTGTTCCATGTTCTCCCTTCTTTATAATTCTGCAATACATCTTTAAATTCAGCATCATGCACATATTGATCTTTGATGGTCTCTAAACCAAACAGTTTAAAGTCAAGT